AGCCCTCAGCCCAGCCGCCCGCACGGCGCCCCTCAGCCAGTGCCTGCCGCACGGCGCCTCTCCCTCGGCACCGCCTCAGCCAGCTCACCCCGCAGCAGAGCCTGAAGGCAGCTCTGGGTCCAGCCTGGCCACTTGCCACCTGCGTGGCCTTGCCTTTGCCTCCAAGTGAGGCAAGAAATCCTCAAACGAACACCCTGTCTGTCTGACGGGCGATTTCCTTGTCATCCTAGAGAAGCTCGAATGGCCAGAACAGGACTCTACAGATGCAGCCTGTGTGGCATGCTGGGCATGGATCAGAGACCCATTCAATGCTACACCACCTGGGCATCCCCACATCTAAAGGATGTAAAAATGATCTATACTGTTCACTCTTTAGAGTGTTATCTCTAATACATCTAAATGATACCTTATGCGGTGTGAGTGCCTTTCTGATGGGGATGATAATGCATCAGCACCTCCTCACACCAAACCACCACCCAACATGAATGTTTCCCAGTTAGCTTCTCCCTCTGTCACTCTCTGAAGGTCTGCTTAGCAACAGTAAGATGTTCAGCAGAGATCCAACTTCCATTTAAATATAGCCAAGACATCTCTTACTTTTAAAATCAGTAAATCTGATATTTCTATCCAATTAGAAGCAACATTCCAGACTTTGAATACCTCTTTTGAAGCTTTTCTCTTTTTTTTCAGCATCTCTTTTGGTGCTAACACCACACACTCCTCACGAATATAGCAAATACAGTCTCTTTCCTTAAACAGTGCCGATGCAGCTAGGAATGGAGTCAGTCAGCCTCACTGAAATTCCCAAGTTCACACCAGGGATTTGACCTTTGATTTCCTGAATGCTGCCTGGAAAGAAGCAGCTGGAAAGCTGAAAACTTTGTGGTAAAAGCTCAGTGGGGTCCTGATGGATAACAATTCAAACGTAAGCCAGCAGCATTCCCTTTGAGCGACAAAGGGCAAGGGATGCCTGGGCTGCATTAGGAGGGGTGTTGCCAGCAGGTTAAGGGCAGTGGCCCAGTCAGAGCAGTACAGTGGAGGCAGCTGTGCCAGCACACAGCCCACAGCCCCCACTCCCTGCTCCGTGGAACCGCGTGGCCTACAGCAAGGCCAAAGCTGCAGCTCGTTTGACATCACACGTCCCAGACCCTGTGACGTTTACAAGTAACCACATGACCCTGCCTGGAAAGGAACTTTTATTTATTTAAAAAACAAACAAACAAAACAAAAAAAAAAAAACCAACACAAACAGGCTCTCTCCATAGCCCGTGCCTCAGAGCAGGGCTGGGAAAGTCCTCCTCCTCCCTTGACCTCACATGCCCTCCACCCCAGGCGAGGCTGGGAAGGGGAAGGAAAGTGCCAAGTGTTAAGGTGCTGAGAAGCTCCCCATGTTTCTAGTCTCTCAAGTGCTGTTGGCCTGCTCCTGCTCAAAGAGGGCCATGGCTAAATGCGAGCGGGATGCGAGGCCTTCCAGGTTACTGAGCACGCAGCGGTGGTACAGCTCCTCGCTCAGCCGGGGGTTGCAGCTCCTCAGTGTGTACTTCTGCACCAGCCCTGGCTCCACAGCCCTGAAGAGGTGAAGACCGGAGTAGTGCAGGAAGACATCAAACACCTCCATGCTCTCCAGCACCTCGTCTCGGTCTAGGATGTCAGCTGCTAGCTTGGTCCGTGCTGTCATATAGTCAGAGTTGTAAAAGCAAGCCTCAGCGAAGGAATGTCTGTCAAAATGCCCATCCCTCAGGAAGTCAGTGCCAGAGGAAGCCGTCTGCTCACCACGGTACACCAGGGCAGGGTTGAACTCTTGGAAATGCACTGGGAAAAAGACCTGCCAGTTGCTGATGGTGTTCATGCGGCAGAGGTTCAGAAACTCCATGTTGATTTCTGTCCAGACACTGGCAAAGAAGAACAGCGTATCCACAGGGTGCTTCTTTGAGACTATATCCATGAGTTTCACTTGCGACGGCACCTCAGTTTTAACGCTAATCCAAGGGATTTTAACTTCTGCGTAGCGCTTCTCCAGCTCTCCTACCATGGCTTTGACTCCAGCAAAAACATCAACCTGACTCACTCGCTGGGCATCATAGGGATGGTAGATGAAAAGCAAAGTCAGCAAGGCATTATCGTGCGTGTCCAGTGTGTTCATAGCAAACATATCCAGGAAGTTTGCCACATAGTCCAGATCCTGCACTGTCAAGGGAAGCACCAGTTGCACCCGTGTGGCCTCAGTCACATATGGCATGGGAATAATCTCCACCTTACTTAAGGGCCGCACCAAGCTCACTCGTTTGGCCAGGGTGTGACTGTGGCCCTTCTGGGTGACCGCCTCCAGCAGCAGGTCCAGCGTGTACTCCATGCCCCGCGTGGGGTCGAAGCGCCGGTAGCCGTTGAGCAGCTGCCGCTTGCTGAAGCGGAGCAGCGGCTGGTAGCGGCTGTTAAGCTGCTCAAGTGCAGACTCAATGATTTCACTGACGTCTGCTTTGCTGGCTCCAGAGAGCTCACACTTGGGGGAGCCGTCGGGACAGGAGAAGAGATGCTGCTCAGTGAAGTAGTCCCAGCTAATTACCTCAAAACGTGACTTTGGGAGAAACGGGGCGTTAATGCCCACAGGCCACGTCAAGCCTGCCTCACCTGCAGGGGTCAAGGACGTCAGGTTCCTGATCTGCATCTGTGCAAAGAGAGAAGCAAACTGATCCCTACCACCTCCTCAAAGAGGTCCAAGCCCACCTCCCACCTGGGCCTGCCTCACCACTGACCTGGTTTCACGGGGACAGAGTCCCAGGCCAGCCGTGCTCTGCAGGCCGTTGGCAGTCTGGAGTCAGCCAGGGATTCAGCCGGGGCCGCCGCGCTGCGCTGGCCGCAGGCATGTCCAGAGCACGAACAGCACGCTCAGTACAAAGAGGGGAGTTTGCTGAGGATGGGGGGGTTCCTGCTCACACCTCCTGCTCGGGCTCCTCTTGCTTCTTCTCCTCCTGCTTCTCCCTATCCCTGGAGGCACTCGCTGACTGCTCTGCTCCTGAGGATGCTTTCCTGTTTACTGTGATCGCTGCACATTCACTGGGCTAAGCGTAACTTTGTATACTTTATATCAGCATTAGTTTTAGTTTTGCTGTTTCATTAAATCCATTTTCATTTCAACTCATGGGTCTTCTCTCCTTTCACCAATCCCCCTTCTCTGCTGCAGGAGGCTCACTGAGTGAAAAAGCAACTACTGTAGTTTAGCCCAAATATGGGCTAAACATAGGCAACCACCTGGAACTGTAACTTGGTAGTATCACAGCAGCAGTTTTGGATAACATGGTGTCAGAAGCGCTATTTCTGAGACACAGAACTATATCCTGCGTCTGCCTGATGGTCACCTACAAACAGAAGCAACAAGCTTCCTCCACAGTGTTAAGGAAAAGGAAAGCTGTTTGGTAAAGGAGTTTTTTTCAGATATCTCTCACCACATACCTGGAGGTCCTGGATCTCCTGGTAGGCTTTGTCCAATTGGATCTTGCTGAAGTGCTTGTGCAGCCGGTACATCAAGGTCACATCGGAAACAGGGTGCACAGCAAGAGCTGACTGGAATTCCTCTTCTTCCTCCTTCTCTGGCTCACTATTTTTGGCCAACTCGTAGGTGTGATAATGCTGTCCCTGAAGTGAGGAAGAGACAGAAATCCTGGCATGGAACCCGAGTTCGTAGAGAAGCCCCCACTCACACCAGATGTGCCTTTGCCCCTCCTTCCGCCAGCAGTACCCAGAGACAAAAAAGTAAGACCTCTCCCCCACACCCTACCCCTCGTACTACATGTCCACTTGCTTCTTGGCACCAGCACGCCCTTTATCTAACCCTAAAAAACCTGTGGATCAGCACCTGCTAGTAGGCTGACACCTGAACACGGCACGTGCTCCCTCCCCCAGCTCTCGGCCCGGCCGGGGCCACGCGGGGGCTCTGCCGCGCCACACAGCCCCTCCCTCTGCACCCAGGAGCCGGGGCACCCCGGCTGCG